AGGAAGTATTTTAATAGAAGCCAGTACAAAAACAAACAAAAGTAATAAAAGGTGAAAAGTTATGTTATGGGTTAGCAAGCAAGACTGACTCTAAGTCCATTAATCATTTCCCTAAGTTTTTATGAAGACATTTAGGAAGTCAGTAAAGCAGCATTTATGACCTTATATATATATATATATATAGTCTGTAGAACACAATTTGAGAAATTCTGCCTTGAAGTGGAATTTAAATGTTGACAAAATTAGCATTTCCCCCCACAAAATCCTTCTCCATAACTGAGCAAAAACCTTTGAACTCTGACTTACAAATATCTATAACTTTCACTCAGCCTGCAGAATGCCTGCTTCTGAAGAGGTGTGCAGGCTTCCCTCATCACTGCCGTGGGGACCTGGAGCCTCTGTGTGCTCCAGGTGTAAGGCTTTGCCTGACTCTGCTACAGGTGTGCACCTGTTTCATCACAGGGATGTATGCTCAAGGGATGCGGCATAATCCACACCTCCACAGAATGTACAGCATTGAGTATGCTCGGCCAAGACAAAACACAAGGAAAGATGTCATCTTTATTTGCCCTGAGATGATAGTTGGAGGAAGACTGTTTGAGCAAAGAGGCGTTGATCCCTGCATATCCTGCCAGGGAAATACCCTCTTCTAAGCAAGGTGACCTTTCAAGCAAGTTTTGAGAATTACTGATTTAGAATGTAAGGTATGCATAAATATATCTAACTGTGATTTGGGATCAGACACACACTGCATTTCTTCTTTCCATTGAACCTTTTCTAGATCAGAGATGAAAAAAGAGATTTTTTTAAATGTAGAAAGGTGAAGTTTGTGATGGCAAAAAAGCGTATTAATTGTGATTTTATTAAATATGTCATGTGTTTTCTTCAAGGTATTGGGACCAAATTAATGCATTCATAACATTACTTTGTTTTCATTGTATTTGTTTTTATTGTCATCTGACATTTAAGGCAATTAATACTGTATTTCTACTTACGTTAATAATAAAAAAAACCTTTAAATAATTTTATTCCAGTAAAATGTGTGAATTAATTTAAAGGAAAAATGTTAAGTAAATATTAGTGCAGATGGCAACATTCTGAAGATGCCACATGAATAATCAAAGTGTGGGAAACGCACGTTATTTTCATGAGTTCAGCATAATCCATTTTAACACTTTTCTAATGTTGAGCTTTGTATTTGTTTTCTGTTATAAACAGTGCTTCAAAAAAACCTCTTGTAGCTAAATATTTTTCATATCCATAATGGTTCTCTTAGGAGAATTCACAGATGTGGAACTATTGAATGGAAGGGCAATAATTATATTATTTTAAAGTTTAAAATTGGTGTCCATTAATCATTTCCCTAAGTTTTTATGAAGACATTTAGGAAGTCAGTAAAGCAGCATTTATGACCTATGGGAATACTTTCTTCCTTGTTACTCAAAGCGTTGCTTAAGGCAGTGGCCTTCAAGTGTGTTCTGGGACCAAATGGCAATTTCTCCCCAACCAGCCAAGACGTGTGGTGGGGAAAAGGCTTGGTGGAAGATCTGGTTTGTAGTTAATGTTAAGTAACCTTTCCACTTAATTAGCTTTGTGATATTGTGCAAGACACAACTTCTCTAAGCTGTAATTTTCTCATCCATAAAATTATACTAAAAATAATACTGGTTATCTCACCAAGTTGTGAAGATTAAATAGAGTGATATATGTGAAAATAGCTTGTAAATGAAGCATGATGTAAAATGTTATCAGTATTATAAAAGCCCAATATATGTTCTCCTCTTGAGAGATTCTTAAAGCCTTTATCCAAAAAAGTCCTTCAACTTTCTTTCCTACCTATTTCCTCACTTTTAAATCCCAAATAGAACTATTCCTCCCTTCCTTGGGAAACTTCACCAGTATGTGACAGGCTGCAGCAGCATGTGACTAACATAAGGGTCAGGGAATGTTACAGTCAATAAATGCAAATGGAGATGAGTTAGGACTTTCTGTGTTTTGTGGGTATTATCTGAGGTTCAGCTTAAACTTAGTTTTCAATGGCTATCAAGGAAGGAAGGCTAAAAACTGGACCAATGAGATTTTAATGTTCAAGGTTTGAGTGGTTATGATTAGATCATAACTGAATTGTGAAAATCACAGTGATTTCACGGGTACGTCGTCTCATGCAATTCAGATAATTTTTTAGTACCATATGGGGTTAGTGTCTAGAAGAAAATAAAGGATATGAAAGAATGAAGAACGAAGTTCCAGTGAGACGCTATTTCTTTACAGATTGCTCCTCCCTGTCCCCTACACAACACTAGAACCTGGTATAGCGCTGTAGTCAATACTGTGTGTGTGTGTGCATGTGTGTGTATGTTTTAAACAAGGTCTCATTCTGCCGTCCAGGCTGGAGTGCAGTGGTGCAATCTCAACTCATTGCAGCTTAGACCTCTTGGGCTCAAGCGATCCTCCCCTGTCAGCCTCTTGAGTAGTTAGAACTACAGGCATGCACCACTACGCCCGGCTAATTTTTGTGTTTTTTGTAGAGATGGGATCTCACTATATTGCCCAGCTGGTCTCAAACTCCTGGGCTCAAGTGATCCTCCCACCTCAGCCTCCCAAAGTGCTGGGATTACAGGCATGAGCCACCTCACCCTGCCAACACTAACTCTGGACTTTTGTTTGAGCTTTGCTGCTTATCATCAAATCTCAATGAAAATATTAGTTACTCAGAAGTCACCTTACTTGTTAATCTAGAATTGGTCTGGTGGCTTAGGATTTCTGAGTCTAGGCTAGGACCAGAGCCAGCCAGTCCTGGCATCTATGTTGCTAGGGAAACTAATGATCTTCACTGAGACTCTGTTCTCTTCCCATAATGTACATTACCCAAATGGTCTCTTGTCATGTGTGGATTCAGGTAAAAATTGTCTGATGAGCTGCATACCAGAAAACTGTGATGTGGACAAACTCCAGAGAGTAGAGCAAGATCTGAGTGCAGCGTGGTCAGAATGGCAGAGGCTGACACTGAGAGCACCTGGACTCTAGAATCAGCTCTGTTACTTCACCACGTGGGGCCTCAGTTCCTTATCTGTAAAAAAAAAAAGGAGTTAGATGAGAATCTGGTCATGAGCTGGTCTTCTAGGTCTCTCCTCACAGTTAAGATCCCATAATTCTGCAGGTCAGTTTATAACCTGCAAGGGGATTCTCCCCTGAGGGCCCTCACAAGGTTTTGAATGGTAGAGCAAGTGGAAATGGGGGAATGTCCTTCCCAACCTCCCGCCGTGGGCAGGAGAGGAAGTGCTGTCCAGGAGGGCCTTAGCTGGACCATCTGGGGGAATGAGGATTCCACTCTGTGACATCACAATATCCAGCCCAGGTTTGACCTTGACAACCGGGAAGGAGAAATAACAGGAGGTGCAGTTACTGATATAGCCAAGGTGGGACGCTGCTGGAGGGAGCTAGAAGGGATCAGCCAGCCATGCCTCCAGTTCAGGTACGTGGCATTGCTAAGCTCAGAACAGGACTTGCCAATGTCTCAAGGAAAAAGAGGAGAGATCTCAAGGCAAGTGTGTCTCCAAGCTTAGGAAGAACAGTATAAGCACAGATAGCATGTGCCCCAGCTGTGTTATGGTAATGTAAGGTTCCATACGCGCAGAAGCAGAGCTGGGTGCCTTCTGCCAACAGCCAGTCTGCTTGTCATGAAGCTGGACGGTGAGGACATTTCTGAGGCTGTAGTCCACTTGTGCTGCTGGTGATATATTTCCATATAGAGGTTTTTGTCTTTCAATAGCTTCTCCCTGGAATGACAGGGAAGAGTAAACAAAAATAAGTTTACTGAAGGAAGTATTTTAATAGAAGCCAGTACAAAAACAAACAAAAGTAATAAAAGGTGAAAAGTTATGTTATGGGTTAGCAAGCAAGACTGACTCTAAGGTCGAGTTTTGAAAGTTCAAACCTTGAAAGGCAAAAGGCCACCCCTATAAACAGTAAACGAGAAGGGGCTTTTGGCTGAGAAGTAAGTAAAACAGTTCTGCTGGAACCATATACGGGACCCCCCACCCAGCTCCCAGCAACTCCCGCCAGTGAAATCATTGCTGGGGATGCGGACAGTTCTGTTTTCTTTACCTTGCCTTGGGGTTTTGGCTTCTACAATACTTGTTTCTTCCTGCAGTCTTGGGGCCCCGAGAGGCTGTCAGTGACAGCAAAGAACTGTTCTGTTTACCAGTGGGGCGGAGCACGGGGCCAGCGCCAGGCCCTGACTCATCCCCATGTGGACTCCCTTGGGTCTTAGCACACTGCAACCCCGGAGTTGGAGCACAGGACAGCTCAGGCAGGCACGCTGAGCTCTGCCTGCAAGGTCAGAGTTGATGGCAATGCTCCCTCAGTGGGAGCCGGAGTCCCTGTTCTGACAGGTAGGTCAGTCACCCACAGGGGACCCAAACAGCCATCGACAAGAGGAGGAAGAGATGGAATCTCTATCCACAGGACACAATTCTAACTCTCCTTGACCTCCAACACATCACGAATAAATATGTCATAGCAGTAAGGCCAATACTCTCACATTCTATGAAAGTAGTAATCGTCCCCACAGCATGTAAAACTGAGAGATCCAGATAAAAACAAAATACACTTGCACATTAACTTTATAGCACACATTCAACTGCTGTACAGAAGTCACTGTGATTTTCACAATTCGGTTATGATCTAATCATAACCACTCAAACCTTGAACATTAAAATCTCATTGGTCCAGTTTTTAGCCTTCCTTCCTTGATAGCCATTGAAAACTAAGTTTAAGCTGAACCTCAGATAATACCCACAAAACACAGAAAGTCCTAACTCATCTCCATTTGCATTTATTGACTATAACGTTCCCTGACCCTTGTGTTAGTCACATGCTGCTGCAGCCTGTCACATAGTGCAGAATTTTAGAGTCGGAGGGGAACTAGAAGATCATCCATTCCACAGCTTCGTTTCCAGAAGGAGAAACCAGACACAGAAGTGTCTCGGCTAAGGGGATCAAGCTAGTTAGTGCTGGGGACTCAAGTTTAAGCCCCCTCACTCTCAGCCTGGTGGCCTCTCCAATATACTCCGCCCCACAATGAATGAATGTGTTGGTTCATATTTGAACTAACTCTTTGATTTTCTAAGTTAGAATATGCTAAAAAGAGGAAATCTCGTTTATCACTTTGGTGTGGTTATTGGTAAAAGTAGGTATTCTCCTAGCCTCTGCATCTCCATACAAAATAAGCTTTGGTTAACGACAAGAAAAAGCACCAAAGACCCCATTCAAAAGACTGAGATAACAGTGAAAATAAATCCAGGGAAACTGACTAGCTACTGTAAATTGAGGGCTGATTAGAAGTAATCTTTTTTTTTCTTAAAAGAAAATTTATACAATTTACCAGATTTTTACTTTATAATAAATATATAGTCTTCCTGTGGCCTTGTCTTTTCCAGTTTAGGTAGACAATACTTTGTTTATGAACATGTGTGTGTACACCCTTGAATGTACAGATGAGTAAACACTTTATCTGGCAGGTGTGGGGCTGGCTATTACATCCATCCATGGTAACTGACCTACCCTTACTTACCTCATATATCTTCTATATGAGCCTTCTCTGACTTATCCAATGAATTAATATTCTATTTGGAATTAACATGATAGTATAGGAGAAGCCTCCTTAGACTTGTCCAGGGTTTGGCATACATGATGCTATATATGTCTTGCATCCATAATTAATCTGCAAGTTTGAGCCCGGGCAGTGCCTGGGTGCAGGTACTCAGCGTTTTTCCAATTAAATTCATTGCAAATATAATAGTATCAGTCCAAAGATCCAAATTCTGAAAGAAAAGGAAATGAAATGAAGAATTTTTTAATATAAATAGAGACCTAATTTTTATAGTCATCAGCGCCATCATTAGCCTTAGAGAGGTCTGATAAGTATTTTCTAGGTCATTAGATTGTTTTTTAGCCAACTAAAATGTGAACTTCCTGTAAGGATTTTCCATATGTTTCTGGTTTTATATGCAGATTGCCTTTAATAAAAGATAATTATGAAGCAATTACCAACAAGAAGGAGCATAAGAAATAGCATTCCATCAAGGCCTAGGCTTTAAACAGTTGTTGTTATAGCTTTCAGCTTCCATATTAATTTTAAAAGTTGTGTAATATATTGAGTAATTTTACACACACCACGCCATATAGCTACAGGAGAAAGCTGATTGTGAAAAACAGAGGGATAAAAGAAGTTTTAGTTTCAGAATTCTTCATTGTGGTTTTGAAGTTTCAAATCTCTCCAGTAAAATGAAACACAGGTATGCCAAGTAAACTTTTGAAATGTTTTCTCTTGAATTACCGGAGAAGATGCAGCCTTGACAAGTTTTATTTAAGAGACTTGGAAGGAAAAAAAGCAAAGGAAGCTACCTCTCTGAAGATCCTGAGACAGCAGAGTCTCCTTTTGCTGCCATCCCCTGAGGCGCCTTGGCAAGCGGCCACGCTGGATCTCCGACACGCGCAGGACACTGCCTGTCATCCCAGCCCAGCCCCCATGCCCACTCTCCCAAGAATTGTGCAACAGGGCCTTTGTAACCTGAGGCCCGTGAAGTCTGTGGAGGAATGTGACCCAGAGCCAAGGGGCGTTGGTGCCACCAGGGCTGAGAAGGAGCTCTCCTGCTGTTTACCCTGCTATCCCGTGGGAACCTCAGAAGGGGGAAGGTGTGCTCTGAAATGCATGGGGAGTCAAGTCCTTGGCACAGCTGTGAAGCAAGCACTCTAGTGAGTGTCTTTTCCCGTCATCTTTGCTGACCTCCGGAGGCATGCTTCATGCTACTCCAGAGAGTAGAACCTGATGTGCTTTAATTTTTATTGTGTTTGTATAAATATATGGGGTACAAGTGCAATTTAAAAAAATGCATAGATTGTGTGGTGGTCAAGTTTGGGCTTTTAGGATACCCATCACCTGACCTACCCATCCTCCTTTCAAGCCACACCTCCTCCTCCTCCTCCTCCTCCTCCTCCTCCTCTTAATTGTGTCTCCTACTGAAAGCTACAAGTTGTGGTCCCATTATTCCAATGTCCTGTAAGGGCAAAGGGCATCCTGCTGTCCAGGGAGCAGGGATCCATATTATATGTGATGAGGATGGTAGAGTGCCAGGCACTGGTAGCAGGACAGCCCCAGAAATCTTTGGGATTCATCGATTTACAAAACCAGCTTCCTGCCTCCTCCCCTCACCTCTCCCATAGACATCGTCCTCCAATATGACAAGTACACAATCTGGCCACCATAATACTTGGGGTTGTTCCGTCTCTTCTGCCTGGGGAAAATGTCATGAGCTGAGTCATGAATATTCTCCTTTTAAGTTACCCAAACATCATGATGGCCACACAAATGGAGCTCTAACCAATAGGAAGTGAAAGATTCACTCTGAGTCTTGCCATTTGAGTGGCACCGAGTACTACGGCGTGTAATTC